GATGATGAGCCTGCATTGCTGTAAACGAGTGAGTCAACCCTCCCTTCAGACAGACACCGGGGGGAAGAAGACTGGACAGACATAGAAGGGAGACAGGGAAAATACATGGGAACTGTCCTTGGTGCTGAAATCAGGAACAGCTGCCATCTAACAGCTTCCAGTTCAGCTCAGTACAGGGAAGAAAATCATCTAAAATAGAGGCATGCTGTCTTTCAATAGCTGACCCACATCTGAAGCAATCTGTATTACTAGTTTCAGTGTAACAGGTCAGTAACTGACCTGCTTTTCAAAGTGAGAAAGACAAAATGATACATTTATGACAACTACCAATTTTCAAATTCCCCAGCAGGGGGAGTATAATATATGCCCGAACAAATGCTGTAGAGGCTGTTGCTATTGAGCTTTCCCACACAGATCCTGTCCCAAACCAGTTATTTGGCTTTCTGATCAGAAAGAAATGGGAGGGGGATTCTCTATCCTGTAATTCTTTCAGAGTCAAGTAAAAAAGTCCCCTGTTAAAGTACTTTTTATATCCCAACCTTCAGTCCCCAGGGATAACCATAATGGGCTGTCAGGCTATTTGTATACTAATCAACTCCACACAAAAATAATTTCCATAAGCAATGAATGTGAAAGAGTCTGGATCAACAGGAACTGGATATTGTGTTGTACCTTTCAGGCATCCTCCTGCTTAAACTCTTTGAAATTCAAATTTTTTTGCACTGTTCATCTGTCAGTTTATTCAGCAGCACTTAGATAAGATGGATTAATACACTGTCTATTGCAAACTGCTTATCTAAGAAGGAATTCAGTTGCATCATTTAGAGAGAAGCTGATACTGCTACAGTATATTACATACTGATGTAACTGGAAGCACTAACACCATCACCAGTTTTACACTGTCAAAACAGCACACGCATATAACTTTGATTATACAGGCTTTGCAACTTGTTACCCTAATTTTCCCTTGGGACATCAAAGCTGGGGTGTTTAGTGCTTTCACTGCATGCCTTACAAATGACAGCTTCCCTGATGGAAGGTTCTTACTTGTAATTGCTGTAGATTAAAAATGGTCAACTTGCAGTCAAGTCAGTAACAGGCAATTCCTCTCAGTTTCACATGAAAAGATTATGCAACAGGTCTAGTACTTGCAGAAGCAGCCTTAGGCAATAGGATCATTGTTGAAATATACAGTATTTTATATGAGGCTAACAGGAGAATGATGTCACAAGTCCGTAAATAAGGGTCCTTTTCTCGGGCACTGCAGAGACCAGGCGGGTGTGGTGACTGCATTAGTAGACGCGCACAATCCCGGCGCAAATGCTGGCAACAAGGCCATGATATGGACAGTCTTGTAACGGCTTTCCACCATTGCTATGACTACCTTGCACTTGTCGGGTGTATTGAAGTTCAAATCATTAATCTGCTGCCAGGAATTTTGACAAAACTACCTATCTTTCTTTATTCTGACAATCACAAGGTGCCCGCTGACGGTGCGCCTCCCCAATCCCGTGTTAGATAGAAAAATACATGCACAATGACAATCTGACATCTGCACTCATCTGACAAGTTAGTATTCTCCACAGACACCACACTCTCTCCCTCTGAGCATCCCATGCCGTTTTTGTACGCCTCCTTTCCTCTGTACCCCACTCTTTCTCGTTCCTATGCGGATTTTTTTGAGCAAGCTTATTTCCACACACGAGCAACAATAGAACTGAACGACGGCTTTATAAAATATGCAGATAAACATGCAACTCGGAAAGCACCTACATCGCAAGCACAACAGTTTTCATGCTCTACTGAGAACTGACCTCCCAGTCTAACGAATCCCAGTCTTCGGTAAACATCCGGAGGATTTCTTTTCATCCAAAAAAGCGGACCAGGCGCAGTGGTTCTATGGAGCGACTGGGCGATGCGATGCCATTGCGCTTTTGGTATTATCCTCATGAAATCAATTTGAACATGGGGGCGTCGTTATTAGAAGGCATCTCGGCGGCGTCGAGACCAACTTGAGAGACAGATCGACGATGTTTTGTCTTACGGTCCAACATTTTTGATTGGCGAAAAGGTTGCAACCAATTAACACACCACTTGCGCTTGGAGGCGAATAGTTCCTGACAAGGCGCTCCTTTTCTTGAGCATCGCTTCTATTTCAGCTGCTGTGCTGCTTTTTGGAAAAAGGTGGCAGACTACACAACACACGCAACTTCTCATTTCCAGGATGTACGAGGAATTTACTGTAGCATATACTCCAAAGCTAATAAATCCCCATAGCTCATTTGACAAATCCTTTCCCACTGCTGAAAAGCAACAATAAAGGAAGCATTTGAAGGTCCCTGCATGAAGTGGTTTTTATAGCACGTGACTCAATCTATTCCATGCTGAAAAAAGCTGCATTAGATCCAGAATAGGCCTTAAGCAGTGGAAGAAACGTTTTTTGGGGGTGGGGGATGGAGGGTGGTATTGATGTGCTAAAATCAATGACACTGGTAGCACACAGCAGACTACTCACCATTAGCACAGCAAAGTTATTATGATGGGTGCAATGAATAGTGGTCGTGTTGCCCCCGGAGCCTGTTATGTGGCAGCCCTCTGCCCTCCAGCCACCGTGTCCATCTAGCAGGTCAAAATCCCAATAGGCTGCGGTGGGGTCTACACCCAGTGCGAAGTGCCTGAGCGCAATAGTTACAGAGTGCACGGCGCTCCCGAGGCTGCACCCATCTGCAAGAAAAGCAGCACGTTCAATTAAGGAAACCAAGTGGAAAGTCTGTAAGTGCTATGGCAAAATGGACATTGCGCGCACATTCACATTCAATCTCCTGTATGCAGAACACAGCCTGCGCGCATTACGTAGGAATCGCTCCAGTGTTAGCCTGTTAATGCAGCTGACAGACTGTCGTGCGCAGTGTTGTAGATAAACTTTAATCTCACCGGCTCTTTTCAGACAGAATGTACTTGTAAATGACATGTGAACAATCATGTGGCGATTTCATTCATCCAAATAAAATTAACAGTAGTAAAAGTAACGGAGTTTTGATTTATTATGGCATCGTGCACAGAAAGCTTTGAAACGCCTGTATCAACATGTTGCGCAGAACAAACTGATACATTCTGTATATATGGAACCTGTGTGTGCCTTTGCATTACTTACATCATGAGGACTGAAACCTGTTAACACGCTCCCACTGTGGGGACTCGGCCATCCTTGTGGGGACCAGCTTCCCACAAGGGAAAATCACAGAATTTTAGGGTGGCAACATGGTTTAGGGTTAGGATGAGGTTAGGTATTAGGGTAAGTATTAGGGTCAGGGTTAGGTGTTAGGCAAGTAGTGGTTATGGTTAAGGTTAGGATAAGTCTACAGGAAATGAATGCAAGTCAATGTAAAGTCCCCACAAGGAATGAAAATACAGCGTGTGTGTGCGTGCGCGCGCGCGGGGGTAAGCATGTAGTCCATGTCGGCAATACACTTCAGCGTTGACATCACAGGCATAATGATACAAATGGATTTCCTCTTACCTAATTTGGTGAAAGCAACTGGTGTTGAAACGCTCCTACGCTTCCCATCATCTGCAAGATTTGACGAATTCCCCGTGCATGGAAAGAGTTTCCCATTGCGAAACACAATAAACTGCAGCTTGCAAGTGGAGTTATCAACAGATTGCAACACAGAGGAGGAGACAGGCGTACCAGCCAGCGGTAAATGGATTGAGGCGACTGCCACGGAGTTCTGCGGATGGAACAAAAAAGGAGAGGAAAATAAAAATTTAATTATGTTCCCTAGATGCGCAGGGAACTAACTCCCATTGAAGAAGACTGACAAATTGCTTTTCTCTCCAGCAGTGGAGGCGACCATGGACCACAAGTGACCAAGGGAATGAGAATCACGTTTGTAGCGCTCTAGTGCGCCTATTTGGTCAGGCTCCCTGCCGCAGAGGTGGAAATGGTTCTTACCATTTCAGCTTGAGGGCACATCAACACTGCAGCTTGATTTAAAGAGACAACCGGTCTGACTTTATCTTCTTTCCACTGACTATAACAACCAGATAAGCCCCCCAAAACATCCCTGGTAAGACTTGAAAAAATTGGGTTTTGGGGAGAAAGACGTGGTCAGAGAATATCAGGGGGTACTCACTAGCCATCTTTTAGTCAGTTTCTCTTCTTTTTTTTATTGCTTTAACTGCAAGCAAAAATAGTCCAATATATCCCTCTGCAGCCATCGCCAGAAAACCCAGCAGAGTTGCATTCAAGATCCACAGTCCCTCTGATTTGTTATGACCTGTAGCTAATAATATATGAACAAATAACATATCAGCAGTCAAGAACTTCTTCCTGTCTTGTCCAAAGAAAATGTGTGCTAAAATGAGGATCCAGCCTTTTGAGCTACATAAAAACAGCAGCAGGAACTTTGGCACAGCTAAAGATTTAGTGAATCAAAGACCTGCTGGACAGAAATGTTGCTCAAGGGTGTGTGGACTAGTGACTGCACTTAGGGTGAGACAGGCTGCACTTAATGGCTTCCAAAATGGCAACATCAGAATGGACTTACACATGTGGCCACATGCTCAGCTATGCATCCCATCAGCTGATATATTCATGCTAGCTCTAATGTGTTGAATATTTCATACTTAAATAGAGAGAAGAGGAACTACAGTGTTCTTGCAAAGGCTAATAGACGTTATTCAAAAGGAAAAGGCTTCTATGCAGTTCTTATTTAATTATAAATACAGTATGTGACAAAGTAATGTGTGCTTAAACATAATTCCTTTACATTACAATAACCGCATACAAGAAGTCAGTGGTGGTTTTACAACTAGCTATTCATTTCTGCATTGAATCCCTTTTGGAAGGCTATTGATTATCTTGTGGTGTATGTATATGTGGTGAAAGGGAGAAAGAAACCTCTGTGACAGTTAAGTGACTTAAACACGTTATTCAAGGAGTCCCTTCTTGTACGGCAAACATAGATGCCAGGTGACCTCCATCCCTGAGGGGGATATGCTTTCAAAACGTACAACTCACAAAAAGAAATCTTATCTTATATACTTCTCTCCTCACCTCTTTCTACATCTTTTATCCTTTTTTTATGTGGTGCATCAAAGGAATTTACAACCCAGAGTGGTGCTATAAGCCGTGGAGTGCGCAGGGTTCCATTCTAGGTGACAATCTATGTTCCTCCTGAGCAACCTGAACAACTACATTTCCTCAACCCCAATGCCACCCAGGACCTCACACTTCAAAGTTGATTTAGTTGGTGGTATCTCAGCTGTCCGACCTGCCTCCAAGCCCCTCCCTTTCTAACAGGGCACCATACTGTAGCAGTAGTAACTGTAATCACTCTCTCCCCTCCGTCTCTCGCTCTAGCCTCGGGATCATTTGCCCTTTCCTTTATTTTCGCTTCACTTATTCTTTCCTATACAGAGGGTATCCAGGTGAATGTCAGCAGTCACCTCTTATTTCAGGCTGTTACCTCTTGTCCACATCCCAGCCCCCTTGATACATGGCCCTGCCTGATAGAACAGCACAGATGCAAAACAGCCTGCAGGGCAAAACACAATGGTAGTGTTTGACATGGGGCAGCCACCAAATCACAGCATAAATATCACTCTTAAACATTGCTCTTTGACTTCACAGGGGGATTACAGTCACATTTGTTTAGTCAAAGAGGAGAAAATTAAGAGAGTCAGTAAGTTTTTTTTTCACTGTATGATCCAAAATTACAAAAAGTGAGAGCTCTGTGCCTTTGTAGATATATCAGTGGGAGAGATAAAAATTTATTTATTTGCGCAGGCAGCAACCTAAAAATTAACTATGAAAGAAATGAATTTAGTTCAAAGGGCAGCTTGCTGAGCTCAGCTCCAGTTGAGAAGAACTGCTGACGAGCATGATGGGAGATTTGCATAATTTGTTTTTGTAATCATTGGCAGTCCCTGTTGGTGCACACATGGTCAAAGACACAATGACCATGACAAACAGGAAGACATCAGGGGACTTCATGGGGTTGTTTCTACCCATGATTTTTTAAAGTCTGAAAGAAAATCACACTTTGCTCCCAAGCAACATTTAGCTAGACCTTGTCAGCACTCTCCCAGAGCTACTTTTGAGGTTTGAATGGATTTGTGTTGCCTGGCATTACAATATAAACAAATGAAGCATAATTCTACAAGTGTTTTCCAAGGCTGCAGCTTCAAAGACGTTGTCCTCTTGAGCACTGTTATGTTGTGGTGTTGTTAGCATTATTTATCAAGAGAAATTAAACACAATCCTACATGGTTGCCATGCCGACAAGAGCCTGTTTCTTACAGATGGGACCCTTTGAGCAGATTTGCAGCACGAAATCAGGCTCTTTGGAGAGGCAACGCTTCAGCTGTCAGCTCCACTCTCCTCTGTCAGCTCTGACTCAACCTGCCACATCACAGGGTTGTGTCTAAACAAAAACATTCAAGAGGCTGCAGCAGATGGACAACATTGTTTAAGTGAAAAGGTTGTGTGGATTACAAATTAAATGAATTCAGTGTGTGTAAAAGCATAACTAATATAGTAGCTGCACTGTGAGTGATAATGAGCCAAAAGAGTCAGGTCTTTGAGACAGAACAAATCTTATGAGGAAAATTCACAGATTTGCAGCATTAATTAATGCTAATAGATGACACGCTCCATAGAACTCAGTGGGCATTTTCATCATCTTCCTCATCCAGAAATATACTGTGGAAGAGTTTGTCTCATCAGCCTTCTGGTTCCACGTCAGTCCAGCTTACATGGCTGTTATAAGTGTCAGCAAAGATGACTGTGACTCAGGGCAGAATATCTTCTCAAAGTGCATATTTCCAAGCAGCACTGTAATGATAAACAGTTTGGGCACACAAAGAAAAGAAAAACTGTTTTTTTTTTTTCATTCCTCTGAGTCAGTTTCCACTTTTAAAGGGTTGGTTCACCCAAATCACTAAATAACAATCTAACTTAACTTACCTCTTGCATTATCAAGCCATAATGATAGTTTCAGATGCTTTTTGCAATATCTGACAAGTGCAATATGGTTAATGGTAGAGACAGATTTTGGTCATGGCAAATAAACTATGACTAAAGGATTATTAGGTTTAGGCAAGTAAAAGACTTTATTAAGCTAAGATCTTAGTGGTAGTCAATAAAAGGATATATATTATGTGAACTCTTGATTAACTTACTGTCCCAAGTAACAACAAGGACCTTGTCTTATGTTATTACAACAACTTTAATCTGAGGTTCACATCTGGGTGAGTCACATCAGAATGGCACTGACTGGAGAAAGGGATTGTCATTGGGTACACCATCTCAGTGACCCCTTTTGCCCTCGCCATGAATCAAGTCAGCCAAGGTAGAGTGCAGAGGTCCAGTAACAAAGTCAGGAGTCTGGCAGCCTCCCAGTCTTCACGAATGACTCGGAGAGGCTATTCACGTGGATCCTGATGTGTTTTAGGCCAGAAAAATCTAGGTCCTTGGTACTGAAGAGAGGGAAGCTGACTGACCAGTACCACTTCTCTCTTGGAGGCACCTGAATCTCATCAGTTACATAGAAACCCATAAAGAGTCTCGGAAAAACCTTCAACTGCACTCTAAAAGATGCTGCTTCCATCAGAGTGACAAACCAACATGATGCCCAGGATCTTGTGGTCATTGCTTAGTGTAACTCCTTAACCACAGCCACAGTAGAACTGTCTGTGAGTTATGTTTGTTGTATAAACAGGAGTTCTGAAAGTCTGACTTGGTGCAAGTCCAGGATTCAGTGGTTTTTTTGGAGCCAGCATCTAGTGCCCATCAGCGGCACTGCACTTTAACATACAGTATTTCCGCACGGGCCTCAGTCTTCAGCCCTCTGATTTAAAACCAGACAATTCCAAAGGGCTCACATACTTTTCTTGGCAGTGTATAATGTGTCACCTCTTAATGCAGAATTATAAATCCACCATAACCACTATCCACAGCCTCTGTCTCTTCATATCAGGCTAGTACTGTATTACATTGATGGTTGATATTCCAGGTGGGAATTTCTCAAAACCTAAATAAAAAACCTAAAGCCATGCAGAAAGGCTGGATACCACTAGAGCAGAAAATACTGTTTTGCAATTTGGAGAGCCAAACCCTTTAATATAATTCAATTTTTATTGTCTTTAAGAGTTAGTCTGACTTTTTATTGCATCTTGATGACAACAAGTTTGCTTGGAGGCTTAGAAAATATAAGCAGTTTAATAATGATTCATATTCTTGTCCATGTGAGGTGAGAAAATAGTTCTCCAGCCAGGACCTGCAGAGAAAACCAATGTTAAACCCCAAGCCTTTTATCTATTCATATATTCACTCACTCTGTAAACCATTCATTATCTGTTTATTCACTAACATGCCCACTCTGAATACTGCAGAACCAGTCATTATTGGCCTGTTTGTGAATATGAGTGAATTGTCATGACTGGAATTCCAAGAAAAGAGTCAGTAACGGGTACATGACAAAATAGCTTTTACCTCAGATTCAATCTAGATTTCACTCACACACACAGTCACGTGGTCTTATTGGAGTTGGTTATGCTTTACTATCATCTACAAAAGTTCTCGGACAACACCACCATTGTTGGATTTGTATCTGGGGGGATGAGTGGGAATATAGGGAGTGGTGGAGTGGTGTGAGAAAAATCACCTGGTCCTGAACACCAGCAAGACAAAAGAGATGGTGATTGACCTCCGGCAGAGATCACCACC